CCCCAAAACCCCAAAACCCCATGACGAACTATCATCAATAATTATGTTATTAGGAAAAAATAAAATAAATTCAAAATTATAGCCATCTTGGGCGGATTGATTGATTAATGCCAAACTATCAGAAATCTTTGGGTCTTGATCTAAATTAAACACCATTATCAATAGCCTTCATTAATCCTAATACTCTCTCATCCATTTATGATAATCCGACTACTTGGACTCCCATTGGCATGCCTTCACTATCCTCTATATCATTTCTTATAGATTTAGTAACTTTATCATCGAAGCTATCTTAATAGTCATTTGGATTGGTGTCAGATGCTTAAACTAGAGTTGTGGGGACAGTGCCACAAGGATACATAAAGAAATTCCAGATACTTGTATAATCTATCAATGAGTTCATAGAAAGCTGGTTTGATTCTTTAAAGGCGCAATGAACATAATTTGGTAGAATTAGACCAATTATATCCAAATCTTAGAATTTAGCTCTTATATTTTCATTCGACTCCTCTCTCTTTCTAATGAAATCATCTATTTCATCCTTCGAAAAATCTTTGCAGTTAGCAATAGCATTTGAAAATCTATGGTTTCCAGTTAATTTTAGTAATGTTCTCAATAAAAACTTCTTTAATGGGTTAGCACTGTAATAAGAGTAGAACGCAACATTGACCTTTAAGAGATCTTCACATTAATCTGATAAAAGCTTAAGAACAGGGCCTGCATTGCTAGAAATCATTATTCCTTAAAAAGCACTCTTTATAGTCTAAACTTCTTCTAAAGTCTGATTAAATGGGACTAATTCGAAACCTTGCTTCTCCAGAGCATCCTTTGCAATTTGGAGAGCTCTTCTAGCCCCTTTACTTGATTATAAAGTTGGAAGTCTATCAATATATCCTACTCTTAATTTTTGTTTTCCACCATTTACAGCACTGATATACTCATTTTCCCTGAAAGGACTTGAGGGAATCTTCCAATCATAAGTATGAATCTAAGGATCAAGTTAAAGTTTGGTGGCTAAAACCAAGTCATCATTGCTTCTAGCCATTGGGCCTTGCGACGCTAAAACTATACTGGAGGTAGATATTTTTGGCATTCCTGACAAATAACCCAAATTAGATGTTCTAGCGCCTGTTGGCTTAAACGAAAAGAGTCCGTTAAAGGCTGCTGGCACTCTGATGCTACCACCAATATCTGTACCAACTGCAAGAACCACACATCTAGATGCAACTAGAGCTGAATCACCTCCTGATGATCCTCCGCATGTTCTGCTTTGATCATATGGGTTTTTAGCAGTTCCAAAAATGTTGTTATGATTATGGATAGAAAACCGCATTATGACATACTTGCTTTAACTATAATGATGGCTCCGGCCTTTTTAAATAACTTTACTGTTACTGCATCATCTGCAATGTGATCTTGGTAAATTTAAGCTCCTCTTGAGTTTCTATCACCTTTGGTACTTATCTAAATTAAGTGTTAATAAACCTAAAACGTTTTACATTTTCTTTGAAGCTCACAGGTATCCCAAACAATGGTGGCAATTAACTTTGTTAGCCATCTTTAAGGTGCTTATCTAGTATTTAATCATATTCATTTGCAGTGATAAGAGCTTAATCAATCAGCTCAACAGCAGTCAGATTAAGTTGTCTACCGATTTCAACAGTTCTCTTTGAATAAACCGTGACTAGCTCAGATATTGTGAATGATCTTTAGAAAAGATTCTCTCTAATTGCTTGAATATCTGGGAGGTTAAGTATCAACTAGGTCTTTTCTGGACTCACCTCAATGAATGTATAAGTTTTAGAATCTCTCTCAGCCACTATCTATGCGCTTCTGATATTGAGTTTCTTGTTTTTTGTTTTCCAAATCATATAGTTTATGAGCTTATATCCCACTAGAGCTCCTATTCCGTAGCCTACATATTTAATGCCAACTTTCTCTTTTATTGAGCGAAGATTTACTAAGTGCATCTAGCAAATTCTTTAATCGATTTAAATTTTGTTTAATTAAATAATAATTTAATAGAGAAAAATGAAATATTTATGATTGATTCACCACTTTTACTCTAATTCTAATCATGGGGTTTTGGGGTTTTGGGGGCTCAACATCTATCAGCT